CTTTACTACCAATCAAAAAACGAAAAAACAAAGAGAGATCAGGTGACAGGACTATAAAATCAGATGTCGAAAAAAGTGTGATTACATTGATATGATTATGAGCAATAATAATTTATGCTCGAAACGTAATCAAGTAAATAATACTGTATCACTGTGCGCTTTAATATACAATGTTAACTGTAAGGTTTGTCACAACTGTTCATTGTTCTAATAGGAAGTCATCATTTCTAAGGTCTATTGAGCACTCCAAGACGACATTAAGTAGGCAATAAATACTACATGAATGTGACTTGATTAAAGCTAAGGAGATTATTCACTAAAATCAAACATGCTACTCAAAACGTTGACGTTATCTGTGCCAGTAGTAAAGGTGTCCATTCCGATCTTGATCATATTTAATCATGAATAGGTTTTACTAAAAAGTTTAAAGCGTAAACTGAACTATTTTCTCATAATCTTAAATATGCACTGAATATCAGTGATATGAGAGATAGTTCAGGGACTACTGAAGTGAATGTATACTTTTGTGTGTGTGTGTGTATCCGACGTCCACCTATACACTCAAACAAACTTTACCGTTCGATATTCAATATAAGTAAATTTCAACTTGAATCATTTACCTACCAACCAAACAGTGATTCTCGGTTATTATATGAAGTTCATTATGAAAGTGTTTATGATTCTTATCTGATTTCTGAAGAAATAAAATTCATTTTGACACTGTTTGCTTAACTAATTAGGAGAGTGTATTGACAGCAGTGTTTCGTAGTTTGGTTTTTTCTGTCATTGAATTGTATTGGACATTGAACACGAACTTATTTCGGATTTATTTCGAAACGTCTTCCATCTCTATGTGTGGACGTGTACGTTTGCTTATGAATTTAAATGAAATTTCAATTTTTCAATTTGCAGGTCTGTATGGATCTATTCCTTGATTTTAGGTTGGTAAATATTATGAACTGACATCAGTCGGAGACCTGGGAGCACTGGACAACTGTTTTGTCCTAATATAGGACAAAATCAATGAATAAATCCCTACAAACTTCCAAATTGAGTTTCTCTAGTCCTCATTGAGATTCAGCTTCGAGAGATGATTTCCGAATTTTCAATGAGAAGTAGTGACTGGTGGATGCAACTAGGTCAAAAATGAGGGCAGTTATTCAATGACGGTATTGGATGGAGGTTGCGCTATATCATGAACTGACAGAGGCAGAAAATATGGAGCATAGGATTCCGCCTCAGTGACTCGATGGTAACATACTGGTCCTGGGACCTGAAGGTCACGCTTTCGATCTCTGACAGGGTCATCGGGGCACACTGTTGAGGAGTCCCATACTAGGACAAGACAACTGTCTCGTATTCCCAAATTCTCAATGATTCTTCAAGTGATATTGGTCCATGATAAATGCCGACCTAAAATTCCGTATTCTCTCTAGAAAATAAATATTAATTCTCTCAATGATCTTTTTTATATTTAGTAGGCTGTCTGCCTACTTAATAAAGGTGCATATCGTCATCCGATTTGGTCGATAATCTCCCATCTGACCAACTTTATTCGGGGTTCTGTCTTAATTTCTAACATTCTTGTAATATTTCAAGGTAGTATTCATCACGGATGACGTCAGTATGAGAAGCACTGAAAGCCTGGGAGCACTCGATAACTGTTTCCTCACAGTATGGGACTCCCCAGGACTATACACTTATGATCCTACCAGGGAACGAACTTAATGAGTTCAAGGTTTGCGATGAACGCGTTAACTACTAACCCTTAGGATCTAAGTTCAATGATCCATAATTTGCTGCGTCTGTCAGTCCGCTACATGGTGCGAATTTCCACCAAGGTCTTCATTTGGCATCCACTTCTCTCTCTACTGGTTGACCCCACGGGTGACATCCTGTCATCAGAATTTTGCGTTATCCATATTGAAGTGGACTGACAGAATAAGGAGACTGTAAACTACTCAACTACTACCCAGTGTCTAAATGATGAACACGTTCATCGCGAGACCTAAATGTTCTGATTTCGACTCCCCGCGGGGTCGTCGGTAAATAATTCTGAGAAGTCTCCAACTAGGACGAAACAGGTATCCAGTACTCTCAGATCTCCAATTGTTATCCAAATGAAGTCACTTCATGATGAATACTACCTTAGAAAAAACATGTATATATGCCTCAATGTCATTCGTGTCAATCGATAGGTTATTTTAATCAGCTGTGTCATGTTTTTCAACCTCCATCGTGTAAAAACTACGACAAAGCGTTATCTCACAACATTGGTTTTTGCGTCACTAAAATCGCCGCTGAACTTGGAAGATGTGTGCTACAATGCTGTATCACTAGAATTACTCAACAAATCACTTGCTTCATGGATATGCTTAGATTAACACTTAGTATTTGACATATCCACTCAGGTAACCATCTTATGATTCATGTGTGTGCAGAGTCCAGCCATACATAGGTAAGTGATAGCTTGAATATCTGCTTGTTATGGTTAGAGTCTGGAAATCGTGGTGAAACTGAGTTATTCATTGACTGCCCCTGAAATATCCTAACCAATCCGAAGTGAGTCAGTCATTTGTTGACTTTTGGGGTGGATGAAGATGTGCAGAACATTTTGTTTTTCCTTCTTTATTCAGAAATTTATGCGGAGTTTGGGATTTTGTGATGAAACATTAAACTTTTAACACTGGCCAGATATTTACGACTGTTATATTCATTGAAGACTAGAGGTTGAAGTTCAAAAGCTTGGAATCAGCCGGAGAGGCTTACAAGAAGCAAACATTTAGGTCTTAATGTTCTTTTTTTTTAATTTATGCCATTTAACGGGAATTTCAACTGCCTAAGAACTAAATTTTGGAGTTTGGAGAGTTAGAGTTAGACTTATGCTTTGACACTCGTGGGTGGACTCATTCATTGATCGACCATCTAAATTCTGAGTTTTCTATTTCCGGTTCATTCAACTTCTGGCGATAAAAGTGTTTGGAAAATCTTATTAAACTTTTAATTAACTCTAAACCATCATATAAAACTTGATTTCTTTTCATATCGGTATCACTGCATAACGGTCCTAACTGTCACATCTCATATCAGCACAGGAAGCGACAAAGCAATGCGAAGAAAGATGAAGAAATAGAGAAGAATCGGTTAAAAGCACTTGAAAGTGGTAGAAGAGAGGAATGAGGACTGAAGAAATGCTGAGTTCAGTATGATGATTAATATGGGGATAATGTGGGTATATATCTACGTTACTGAGATCGATTCTGAGCCATGTCACCTAGAGTCTCTAACCACTAGTTTCTGTTGTCAGGTGGACCTCAACTGGGAGGTCTACATATCTTTACATAGCTTAAACGAACAGTCAAGGACTTCATGTAATGATGTCACGTCTTAATCTGACCACTCCTAACCTTTTCCCAGCCTGAACCTACTTAAGCTAACGTTGCACGGTGATGACTAGACATACGTAACACATTTCCCAACCTCCTGAGTCGATTAAGGTTTATAACTCCATCAACGGACTTTCGTCTCCTCCCTAAATGTGTGGTAATCAGAACGAAGGGAAGCCTGAAGCATTTAATGTTGTCTCTATTCCGATTCTTAATGGATTGTATATCCAGTACTTTAGGGAAATTTATCTCTCCCCCCCCCCCTATAACTTATATTAGAACCTCAGCCATTCACTTGTGTAGCTGGACAAATTATCAGCCTCAATTAACTCTCTGCTAGGTCAAACCACCTACCTACTCATATATTGGTAAATTTGTTCTATTGGTTTTCTTTAGCAGTGATAACAATGGAATAATACTAAGCGTCATGCTGAACTGTAACTTTCCTGGTGATGGCTAGTAATGGGTTCTAGGAGACATGTTTTATCTTATTCAGGGCTCATCACCTAGACGTACCTGCGTCCTAGTGAGCGGTGGTGTCGCCGCTTGGGCTCTAACCCGTTGCCTCAATAAACGCCAGGGTGCTTTCTACTAGGTATCTTAGTGACGACCGTCACCTCTTTTGGAACGGATTTCAGTTACTGTTCTGATACTTTTGATTTCTCGTTGTTATGCAGGGCCGAACCGCTCGATAGATCGTAGATGGCTCTCCTGCCGTAGCAAGTACATCCAGCTGATGAGTACTGAACGGGATGAGACGCGTGTCCCGGTTTCTCCTGCCAGTCAATAAGATGAATATGGCATCATAAATATTTAGGAGTGTCTAGGCATACGTATAAGAGCCCATCTGCTGACAGAGGTCTAGCAGTTCAGCCCTGTATATCAACTGAAAATCTGGACATCAGTTTTGCTGTTTTATGAAAACCCTTTCAAATTCCACTTAGCGTTTTCCAAGTTTCTGTTTTGCATATTGAACGGAGGACGAATACGTCGACACACATGCTTCGCACTTCTTACCGCTAACAATCACATAAAGTTACTATGATTTATAGTGTGCAACAAGATTGTTCAGAATCTTACAAGAAGTAGCAAGTCGCTGAAACCTTTCATAACCAACCTTTTTGCTGCGAAGTTTCGAGGAAAAGCAAGTAAAATTATGTGTAGACAATAAATTGGTTTTAGAGGTGAAATTAAGCCCTAGTAAACCGTAGCATTTTGTACATATTTTGATACTGCAATACGCCTTCTGTAAGCTTACCACCTTATTAACCGAAGAGTTGAATGACCACTTTTTCATATATATTCAGTAAGCCGGATAAGACAGTTCCTACAATGAATCAAATGCTGTCAGTCTGAGAGCCATTCAGAGCCATAGAGCGCTAGGCATGTGCTTACAGCATTTCACAAGTCGCTAATCTAAGCACCAGTGAACTATTCACCTTTTGCTTTATTCTCGCTAACTTTTGGTCTATCACTTTACATTGAAGAAATGGCCTTGAATCAATGTAGTACTGGACAACAGTAACATGTGTGAAGAAGACGAATTGTTCAATACTTTGTAGAAAGAGATTCTACCTAATCTGTTTTTGTTATTTTTGTTTTCTACTAATTTAGGTAATGGAACAGTTGAATTTGACGAATTTCTGAGGATGATGAGAAGGTACTCTCAAAATCAACGTTCAAAATCCCCTGATGATGAACTTCGTGATGCCTTCAACGTGAGTAGTTGTACTTTATAAATGTTGTCTGAGAGTGTTCACCAACTTATTTAATTACTTGACCTCCCTAACAGATTGGTTTCAGAAAGACAATCCGTGCACTACTTCAGCTTATTGTGTACAATAAAGGTGATTTCCATTCCCGGTTACAGCTTAAACTTCATTTAGTTTCCAGTGTATTTTTGGCTTTTTTCTGTACTTCGAAAGCTTGAACGTACTCCTTTTAGTTTGACAAAAATACTTTTTTCTTTTCATACTACTCACAAGTAGTTTGTGATTTCAAATCACATTAACTCACGAGATGTGAAGTTATATTATCCAACCTGATCGATTTCATCGACCTTTCAATCAAGAAGGTGGGCTAAGTGCAGGCTTAGTTGAGAAACTTGTTTTCAGTTTGATGGTAACGATAGAAAGTGGCCGGCAGTGGGAGCCAGAACATGCGTTTCCTACTTGTGACTCGTCGGCTGAATGTACCTGCCACCTAGTGGGTAGTGTTGTTGCCAGTAAGGTTCGAACCCAGGACCGATCACTTCAAATAAGGCAGCATTATCCACTAGGTGTGTATTTATAGATCGATAGTTTTGTTCAGTGAACTGTATATATGCATACTGTATTCACAGAAAATAGCATAATATCTTTGTATTCAAGGTAATGTCCTCAGTGTTTACGAACTGTTCATTAGATAGTATTTATTCTCTAGCGCACTCTAGTTTTTGGAGCTCATTCTATTCCACTTCAATATTCACTGTCTTGCGATATGGAGAACTAAGGGGCAATGGTGGACTTTAGGAAATGAATATTTTTAACTTTATAACTAATTTACGACTTCAGAATTATGAAGGTTTAGACAAAAATGCTAAGGAATTCACTTTCTGACTTGAAATGCAGACACATGTGGAGTGCTTGCTTACGAGGTTGAATCACTCTTTTGCCACGCTAAGTTTTGATTACTGATGATGGGGGACGGGGGGGGTGGTCGAACTACACACAGACAAATCACTCCAAAAGTAATACCACACCAATAGTATACGCAGATATGTAAATTCTACGTGTTTTAAATTAGACTAGTCAATCAATCTGACGTTTTTTTCTCAAATTTACGTTTTTTCATGCAATATGGACACTGAATGACTGTTTTCCATTAGTTACTGGAATGTGGAAAAGCGAAATAGTCAATCAGTTTGGAGTTGTTCAGTATCAACCAATTAGAACATGAAGATTGCAAGTAACTAATCAGATCCTCAGCAGTTTGGAAAGAACATTATACCTGCTCACGGAAACTGAAGATGATTATAAGCATTCGGTAACAGCCTTGAAAATTCCAACCGGAAGAATATTTCATGTTTGTATTCATCACGGACTAACATCAGTACAAGAACTATTGGAAACCTGCAGCACTGGACAGCTATTTTGTTCTAGCATGCAGCTCCTTAATAGTGCACTTCCATAACCCAGCTAGGGGTCGAGCACTTTACCATTGGCCCAGTGGGTTACAATTTCGTGGTCCACATTTTCCTACTATATTCCTAGTCGAAAACTAAGTGTGTGTGTTATCGGGAGCTGCTTTTTTCTGTATGACTTGATATCTCTAATCAATCTGTTTAATTTTGCTTTCTTCAAGGTATTTGATCAGAATGGTGATTCTGTTATCGATTTTGGCGAAATTAAGCGAACAATGCACTTTTTAGGTGAAGCAGTTACAGACGATGAAGTACGTGAAATGATCAAGGAGGCTGACTTAGATCAAGATGGTTTAGTTGATTTCGAAGGTAAAGGACATCTTACTATATATTGCATTTCATTGATATAAGCAGACATTTTGCGAAACCTATCTACTTATCTTGGTCACATACCGGTGTCGTGCTTTGCTCTTTAGTTATCCATTGAGATTACAAGGTTCTCAATTTTTAGAGTTCTGGATCTGGATGGATAAATAGATGCCTTTGACTGAAACTGGGTATTCATCATCAGTTGGCACCTAGGAAGACGATAAGAGTCGTGTTTTTTTAATGAGAAGTCGTACATTTCTTTACTGAGTCAAAAAAGAAGGAAGATCTTAGTGAAGAAATTCACTTTCCACAACATCATCCACATAAACTGTGCAGTCCCACTCAATTATTCGGCAGTCACATTTATATGTTAGTTGGATGAAAGCCGTCGCAGGAAGCCTTGGATCTAGGTTTTGTGCTTTTTGGCACTTGTCAGAAAGCCAAGTCTGTAACCTTGAGGGGTTGATGTTCTGCCCGAGATTGGAACCCGCGTCTCCCAGTGCTGCAGTCAGAGACGTTACCACTGAGCTATTCGGCAGTGATTGACCTCCTTTAAGACTGCATTGTGTACATCGATTAGTTATTGGAGAGTAAGTAACTTCATTTTGTGCTGGTTGACTTCTATCGCTGATTCCGCAAAGTGGCCTCGAAGCTAGGAAGTTCTTGCTTGTTGGTACTACTCAGCAGGACTTGTCTGCAACCTCAATTAAACCGATGTCTCATTTATTGGTAATCTGTTGGCTGCGATAAAGAGCAGTGGTCACAACTAAATAACCTTGATCAATAACACTGCGCATATGTTGACTAATATGAGGATAGCTATCGGTAACGTTCATTTATAGCGCTCACAACTCCATTCTCGTACCGTTCATCAATTTTGTCTAGACAATGGATAACTTGATTGAACGAAGTTGTATTACTGAGGTGGAAATGTGAAGTTTCATCTTTAGGCTAAATTCATTACACAATGAAATCCTGACTAAGAATGACATTAGGTTATAAGAAATTTCTCGAAGTTGACTTTGGGACACTGAAGATTTCGTGATAAATTTCCAAATTGAGGTTAGAAGTGTTTATTTGATCTTGCTGAAACGATTTAACTAGTATTTAATTACCATTTATAATAAATATGAATGATAGTAATAATAATGATAATAATGAATGGCAACAATAAATAATTCTCCCTATTCTCTTTTCTCTGTTTCACTTATACACTTGAAGAATTCAAAGTATTAATGAGATTGCTACGATCACGTGATGGAAAGAAGAAGAAAACGAAATAGATAGCCTATTTTCCTCACATTATTTCAGCTGTCGAATATACTGTACATCTTTATATACATATGGCCATTTATACATACTTTCACCAATCATCAGTGTAGTAACCTCGATGTCAGCACCAGTATCAGCTGTAGCAACAGTCAGTAGAGTGTGATGTGTTTACATCAACCAAATGTTCAGTACACTATCAATAGCTGTGGTAATAAAACAACCTCTATGTCTCTCTTCGGTGTATGTGTGTGTGTGCGTGTGTGTTTGAGCTGATTGGATTTTCTACTCTTGTACGTATCTATGCCTTTTGTTATTGTATTCAGGATAAAACACCTGAGGGCACAAATAATTTATGTGATGAAGTCTTCAACCTTTTGGTTGTGTGTATGTGTGTGTGTGTGTTTACTTATTTCATTCTTGATCCAATATAGATCTTTTACCATACTTTCATGATACAGTATCATTATTATTAATAACGTTAATACAATAATTGCAACCCGTTGATTTTTTCTCTCTGTTGTCAGAAAATCTTATCACTTTCAGGTCGTTTGTGTGTGTGTGTGTGTGTATGCATGTGTTTACTTCTGTCTTTCAAATAGAGTAACTGTATTTTGGCACTCTACTAATCTCATTCTTTCTGTTGGAGCACATGCACTTGGTATTTCACAACACTCTTTCCCCTCCCCCTACATAATCTATACCATCATCGTCTTTGTAGACATGTATCTAGAGGATAGTTGTTTGAAGAGTGTGGAGGTTCGCTTGATCTTCTGAAAACATTCTTTGTGTGTGTGTACATGTATGTGTGTTTGTAATTTTCTTGGGACAGTTTCATCTGACTAATTATATTCCACTTATTTTCTTTTGGGAGGGGGGAGGGAATAAATTTTGTACAATTATGTCTACTGTTGCTGTGGCTGCTGCGGGTGCTGTTGTCAGCCTTGAAAAGGAGTTGATTTACCAGTGTTGAATATTTTGATCATATGCTGATATAATTAATTATCCTAGTTTCCATAGTCAAGATTGATCAGTAGTGATTTTTTTCTTACTGATTACTCGATTCACTTCGTCATCATCATCATCATCATCGTCATCCTCCCTTGGCTACATTCAAGAAGACAGTTCCCTGTTCTAAATTCTCATCTAATTCATCACTCTTTAATGGATTATGTCTATCAATTTTAACATTATCCTTGATCATCATATTGAATATTGAAACCTTGAAGATAACCTTGACAACACAATTGAAGCAAAAGAAGTGATTGTTTATTTCAATGTTGTTGTGTTTTTTTAATGTATCCATGAAAGACTGAATTTAAACTGACTGTCAATAATCATTTGATAAAAATCAGCTTTAGACGAACGAACATTCCAGGATCCTGGTAGTGACTACACCTGGTCAATTGAAACCAAACGATTGGCGCGTTCATTGCTCATTCTCACCTAGACATGTATGTCTGAGTGAACCCGATTTGTTTGTTTGTTTCTTCACATAGCTTTAACAGGAGTTCTGTGCTATGAAGGCAAGCAACAAATCGAAATATGTATTAGTAGTAGTAGTAACAAAAGTAGTAGTACCTTAACTTTTACCCTTTGTTCGTCTTCTTCTTCGATTCTCTTCCCATGTTTTCTCTATTGTGTGGGCCATTCATTCAACCCATCTACACTACACTCTGTTGACTTTGGTTTTCTAGTTCACCTTCTGCTCTCTCTCTCCCTCTCTCTTTTATTTCCTGTCAGTTTACATGTGTTCTTTTTAAACACTCTTACCTTTTAACATAGATTTCTTTACAGTAAAAATTTCCATTCACAATGACTGTAATATTAAATATGGTTTGCTGGTCAGTTATTTCTGGGTAGTAGATTCATCTCTAGTTTATCCGACTTTCATTATTTACTTCTTTGGACCACTCTCGAGCACACTGTCTTTTCAAGAAGACACTCAGTACTATTTTTTAACCATTAATAATAACTTCATATTACATACACTGAGGTCATGTTGATTCACTTGTAGTAATTTATATATACTTAAATATATTTAGATTGTAAATCTTTGTGGTATGTAGTGGCTGCCGTTTATTATCTACTACAAAAACCATTATCAGCCAGTGAGGTAACTATCATTCTATTTGTTTCTGCGTATCCCTCCACGTATGTGTGTGTATGCGTGCAATTGTGTGAGACAAGTGGATAAAGACAAAGCAAACTGTTGTACCTTTTTAACCATCCACCTCTCTTTCTCTACATATACTTTTCATCTATTTTACTCTCTTCTTCTCTCATTTCAATCTGCTCAATGAAATTAAAAAAATAAACGTGATGGAGGAGGAGAGAATCTCTTCACAGAACTATCTTTGTAGTAATTAATTGTATCTTGTTTGATTTTCTCTCATTTTGTTAGAAAAACTTTTAAAAAAAACGGAACAAAATATTTTGATCGAGTTTACTTTTACAACTTATTCCATTTTCATTTTCACTAAAAAATATTCAGGCAACATTAAAGTATCCATGTAGTAGGGGTTGGTCAATTCCAGCCTGTCTAACAACAGGAAATCATAAGTACTGATCAATAATAACTGATATTTTGCTGCATATGAGGTGGACAACGCTCTGGTATTCGAAGTGATATGTGCTGGGCTGGAGTCTTAATGCGAGACACCATCGCTCCCTGCGATGCACTTATATCCAGCTGACTAGTGACGAACTGGACGAAACATGCTTTCTAGATCGCATTACTAGCCTTTACCAATTAAATTATAATCATCGAAATAGTTATGATTATTCATGGTTGTGAGTATGTGTGTGTTACGGGTAATGCACCGTATGCTGCTTCTCAGCCATAGACGTCACAGCAGCACACTAGTCATTATTATGCTCACCAGAGAGAATTCACAGTCAATTCAGATGAGAGATTTCTCCTTCGTTTGTTAGTAAATACCTTTGTCTTGAATTTGATTTGTTGACTAATCGATTATTTTCAGTTGGTTGTACTCTGAATGTAATAGCCGTGTCCTAATCGCTAGGCTTGTCGGCTTAAATCACTGGTATTGCAGGGCTATAACGTACTGTTTGAGTTAACTAACTTGAGTTAAGCCATAACAATTAGATGATCAACTAGCTTGAAGCATGGCACAAAAATGGCTTGTAATATGTCTTCTGGCACAGAAAAAGGGTATACATACCTCTTTTGAACACATAATGATGGTTTGAACTTTTGAATTGCTAATGCCTCACTTACATAAAGATGTTTTAACGCAACTCACTTTGTGCAGACTTTTGAAGGACTTGTCAAAAAAAGCCAAGCGTCCTAAGTTTACTGTGCCTGCTTACAGAGCTGAAGATGAGTTTCGGTCCTCCCTTAGTCGACCGGAATGGGTAGTATTCACGAGAGCAGTTCACAAGCTGACATATAGTACCACCGATGCACTAGGCTCCACAGGAACAAGTAAACTGATGCAAAACTGCAAAACACATCGTTCACTGGTTATTCTCCTGTACTATACTGTACACGTCCTAATCTTTGAGGTAGCAAATATGCCTTGCTGATGTAGGTTAACAAGTGTGCAACCTGAGTTGGTGACTTGTCGTCTCCCAACAGTCACCACACAAATTGGACTCAAATACACTGAAGAGTAATAATCACTCAACTTAGTAACCACAATTACTGACATACTATGATCTCAAACGATGATGATGATGATAATCATTCGTTTGTTCGTTCCCAGATACGCTTCAAAACGATGATGATGCAATCAGCCTGAGTACTGAATTGAAACGTCAGTTATGTTTGATGGTTGGTAGCGACTGAGAAAATATCCTGAAAGTGAGTGTGATGTGCCAATTCGCGAAGCCTGTCCGCAGCACTGAAAAAAGTTAAGCCAGATACTACAAATGTGTCCTTTCCTATTTCTAAATGTTGCTGTGAATATGAACTGATACGATTAGAAGCAACAATACTAAAAGTCGCTGCGAATGACATCCAGTCGGTAGAGCTTCTGAATGAAAAGATGAGAAACTTCGGGATGAAGCGTAGAAAGCAATCGAAAAAGGAAAAGAACCCGAAAGGCAATTCCTCTCTAATATGAAGTGCAGAAACTATTTGTACAAAAAATACAAAGTTTTAGTATTTTATCAGTGATAACCGCAGTTTCCTAATGAATGTTCCCGTCAATGTTGACCAATTTTGAGTTCCACAGTAGATGAAAGAAAGTACATGCATTGTTTGTAGATTACTACCAAGGCTTCAAACTACAGACAGTAGGCTTCATTATTGTAGTTTTAACTCCAAGTCATTTCGTAAGTGGCAAGATGTTAAGGCATCTCTGATGCTGTAAAGTCGAGATGAAGTGTTGGATAATGACGCAGTGCTCTGTTAATAAGTAGGACTGTTCATTACATAACAGGTAACGTACTGCTTTTGCAGAACTTCAACAACTAAGAAGGAAATCCAAAAACCTGATTATGCAACTTATAGCGCCATTATGGATTGCCGGTGACTTCAAAAGGAAGTATCTAAGGTTTGTTTCAAATGCACCACTTTTCATCCTTCTAATAATTCGCATATGAGCTCATATATAACAAGAAACAGGTGCTTGGCTCAACTTAAGACAAAAGAAGTTGGTCGTTTAGGTATGTCAGGTAAAGTGGCTGAATACGAATGAATATTTGCATTGAAAATGCTTATTCGTATGAAATTTCACACTTGACACATGCGCGATAAACATCATTGTATGTAACATAGTCTTGAACCTTGTTTTCTTGTTGAAGTGTGGTCTAGAAGTGAGAAACATAACCCCCAATAAACCATTTGGTTAATGTGAAGCGACCAGCTGCTGACTTCGATAATGCCGATATTATGTTTTACGAAAGGTAGCATAACCTGGTTCCATTTTAGTCTGTTTATTATAAATGTCACACAGTGAAACAGTATCATCTACTGGATAACGTTTCGGACACAATTTGTTGTCCATAACCACATAAAGACAACTCCACAACTTTGAGACAGAGTTTATACAGTCATAATTTTCTCTCCTTTTCAGTAATGACAAGGGTAGTAGAATTTCCCATATATCTTCGACAAGTGCAGAATCATTTCGATTACTGCATGTGTTTGGAGTTGATTCGATAAATAAAAACTTCAGTCGGTTATCAATCTCTGCCTGCCTCCACCCAACTAAGTTATTTTCCAACATTGTCGCTCTATCCCACATGCTACTTTATGATTGTGTGTAGTTGCATGCAGAGGTGTAGTTGAAGTTTTTTCGAAATTTCTTTTCTTATTCGAATCTACTATTTTTGATTTAGCTGAGTTTTCGTGCTGTGCTGTTCTAATCGACCTTGGTCCACTTCTTTTACCCATGTACTTGACCTCGCAATTATTGCAAGGGATTTGGTAAACCAGATTATTCTGCTTAATTGTATCTATAGGAGGTTAGAACATAAGTGTGTAGACTGGTTAAAACGTTATCTAGTAGACGATACTGTCTGACTGTGTGACATTTATAATAAACAGGTTGAAATGGAATTGCACTCTACCGCATTGCCCAAGTTTTACTCCTATAATAATGACATTAACTAGTGCTTACTCAGGACGCCGAATCGTAGAATACATGTGGAATGTGAGCATAAAATGTGGGATACGACGGCACTCTATAAATTGACAAATAGTAAGTTAGGTGTAATATTATAGTCCGGACCCTCTGCATTTCCCAGCTCCATCCATCTTTCTGTTTTACCCACCAACATTACGTTCGTATTTTCAGAGACCCTTTTCCCTCGCATCCCACGTCTGAAATGCAATATGTTCCTTTCATTCCTGAGTGTTTCCCATTTTACTGATAGTGCCTTTATAATTTACCACAGTATGAAATGAGCGGTCTCAAACTCCCATCTTCTTGTCTCTACCTTAAGTTGTTCGACGTGTAACCGTACTGCTCAGAATAGAAGTTAGGAGTTTACGAGCAGCTGTAGTGACGTTATTGTGCACAAGAAGAAAAATATTGTGTTAAATTAGAAGTAACGAAGGACTATGTGTAAGGTTACACAATTTTTCATAAGGTTTTGTAGTTTTCAACTAGGTAGTGTGAAAACGTAAGCTTACTTTGGGTGAATAATGTTGGCTCAGAGAAGCAGTTGACTGAAATAAAGTAGAATGTACGTTGCGTCTAGAAGTTTTATTTTCAGTGACGGTTTTGTTTGATTTAAGTAAGAAGACTGAGCAGCACCCAATGTCAAAGAAGTTATACATCTTAGTTGGTGGTGATATGATTACGGTAAACTAGCGGTGTTATGCAAAACGTTACCACCACATGAATTGTTCCACAGGCGCATAAGTACGTTATTTCTCCTATAGTAAACTTGACAAGTAAGCTATAGGTCTGCCGTACCACTCAACTGCGCTTACCTAGAAATGCAGTTATACAATGAACTAGTTTGTCCGTGTTGAGCAGTTATCAGTTACATCGTCACCGACAGCAATTATACTTTTTTTTTTGCTAATGTATCCCCATATCCTGAAGGAGTAACTGTGACTCTTGTTTTCGGTCAAATGCCCCAGTGTACATCCTGGTCGTCGGTGTGAGGAGGCTGTAGAACATGGTGTACTTAAATGGTATGCAATTTTGAGCTTCTCAAAGGTAAACCTGAGATGATATGTGCACCGGTGACTCCTGGTGGAGCCTAGCTACTCAGCGACGATGAGCCTCCTCACGCCCCCACCAGATTTAAACGAATACACCATCATAGTTGACCCAACGGTAGTAGTTCTCGACAAGTTTTATTCCCACTGACCACTGGCGCAGTTCATTAGGGCACAGGCGGCCCAAGTGACCATCGTGATTCTGTCTAGCACTGTAGGAGCAAAGCAGCCAAAGGTAAGGGAATCAGGCTCCCTAATTGCGGCAGCCACTGCTATTACCAAGAGAGATGGTTTGGCCAACCTTGCGAATGTGGGCGCCATTGGGCCAAAATACCGGGCATCGCTTCATCGTACTTTTGGTGCCTCCGAAAGCGGCCTCCGTGTCTGAAACGTTGGTGAGAGGAGGATTGTCATCTATCGGGAATGTGAGCCGCATCACTGTATGCAAGATTGTGGAAACTCACTGAGACTTATCCCACATACAACTGCCCGCGGGAGGAGGGCGAGTAAGCTTAAACAATCTGGCTACCCGGCAAATTCGGACGTGCTTAAGCCCGAAAGTTGGGAGGGGTTTTGAGATTACGCTAGTCAGTTTTCAGACAGCGTTAACAGGATGTTGCGGTAAGAATATTCTTTTTCATGTGGTTACGTTGCTAAAATGTTTCCTTCTCGGTGAAAGAACCTATCTGCCAAGTTACTGGGTAATGAAGTCCATGAAGACGACATCTGGCCTGGAAATGGGAGCTGAGCCGAAAACTGGAGTAGAATTCTCTGTACTAGTTTTTTGTATTAGTACATTAACTTGTTT